CAAGCTCTTACGTTGATGTTGGAGATAATATCAGAATATTTGTTCGTTGGAGTACTATTCGGATATTTGTTTTGTAATCTCCAACATCAACGTAAGAGCTTGTGCCTCTTCGGGGGCTGCTAACACTTAACCATAAACGTTATTGTTTACTTTCTCTGTCTTTCTATGGCACTTTCTCATTTCCCCCTCCTCGACTCCTCGGTCCTCCGGTAGTGACCCGGAAATGAATTTCAGCGCTCCATGTTGAAGGACATCTCATTTCTCTAAATGCACATTGAGGACCGAGCATCGAGCGTCGAGGAGGCTCTCTGGAGGAGCTATAACCGAGGATACACTGATGGGTCCTCCACGGCTCCTTCGTAGATGCATTTCCGGGAACAGAGATGTTTCAAATCGTGACGTCTATGGTCATGACGCACGGCAAATGGAAAATGTAACCGGGGTGAAAAGGGTGTTACTTACTTTACTTAATTATGAATGTTGTTACATCAAGGCTGAAAATTCGTTTTTTTTGGTATGATATTTGTATTATATTTGCATTTACTCTTGTGGAAGTGCAGATCCCCTGTCCTCCACCAGGGGGTACTGCAGCACCCTCAGCACCCCTACTTCCCACGGCCCTGGCACTACACCCTAGCAATGTGTGTGAAAGACAATAGACTTTACAGCANACACAACAACACAACAGGAGTCAAAATACAACAAAGCGGGAGTTCAGACGCCCGCAGACCTGCTGTGCTGGACCTCTCCTGGCCGCCGAATCTAAGGTAAGACAACGAGCATCCTCGTCGTCTTCCTCCTCCGTGAACGTGGCACCCGGCCCCTTGGAAGGTGGAACTCAAAGGCAACCTCGCATCCTCGTTCATCCATACTCCACCACCTTGAGACCTCCACCTGCAGGCCGAACTTCACCCGGAAATGCTCGCAACGATGTCGGCGGCTTAGCCGAGGGACTCACTGCGCAGCGGCGTTACATGCCGGTGACGCATTAGGCCCGTCTTCGCGTGGTCCGGCCCCAGGCACTAGAAGCACTAGGCGGTGCGGACAGTCCGCGACCAGGCCAGGGCAATGCTCGGCCAGGTCCGGTGCTCAAGGAGTGGCACCATGCTTGTTTTTATGCTCTTTTTCTATTTCACCCGCTTGCAAGTGCTTTCACTTCCAAGCGCCTGAAGAGAAAGGCACTGACCGTCAGGAGGCGGGCGCTCTTTCTTTATACGGTGAGATGCACGCGCATTCAGGTAGGCCCGCCCCGGGCCGGCCCACGTCTATAGAGAGGCGAAGCACTGCCCATCTACCTTCCGACCCATGGACCCCGGAAGCGGAAAAGTTATACATTGAAGTCAATGGAGAGAGAAAAGTCATCTTTCATCCCGTTTGAACTGTGCTCACGGAATGACA